TTTACACCACTAACAGAGTAAATACGTAGGCTACTATGCCAACCAACTAGTGTGTAAAAATGTAGACTTCAAAAAATAGCAATGAGCCATGCATCAAAAGGAAGTCAGTGCCTAGGTCTATTAGTAATTAGTCTGTGATTCTGGAGAAATCACAAGTCTGTGGTTGTGATTATTCAGGTTCTTCATCAATAAAACTATGACAATTATAAATCCTAATACAATTCCAGTAACTTTACAAAGCTTAAGTGAGAAATAGTCAAACGTGGCTTATGACACACAAATTCAATGATTATAATTACCAGTAAAAATGTACTTACTTCTTGTTATTAGGGGCCATTGAGCTGAGCACAACTCATAGTGACCCTATGAATAAAAGATCTGAACCCTGTTCTATCCTGCATCATCTTCACACTTTCTGACACACAAAAGCCCATTTCAGCAGTCATGTCAATCCACCTGGTTGAGGGTCTTCCTCTCATTGCCTGACCCTCTACCCTTCCCAGTATTATGTTCCTCTCCAAGGAATAGCCCCTCCTAGCAACATGCCCAAAGTATGTGAGGTGAAGCCTCATCCTTCTTGCCTCCAAGGAACAGTCCGGATGCACCATCTCCAAGACATAGCTGTTTGTTCTTTTGGCCATACATGGGATGTTCAGTGATCTTCTTCATCACAGCTCTAAGACATCGATTCTTCTTCTGTGATCCTTATGCATTGTCTAGCTTTCAGATGCATAGCAAGAGATTGGAAAGACTATAGATTGGTCACTATTTTGAACAGAGCAAGCCTATATCATAGTAAGGAGCCTAGTGACATGGTGGCTAAGTACTGGACTGCTAACTGAAAAGCCATCAGTATGGCACAGCACTGTTTTCCAGGAGAAAGACGCTGCTGCCTCTATCCATAAAGATCCACGGCTACCCTGCTCTACAAAGCTGCTAAGAGTTTGAATCAACACAACAAACAGGTTTGGTTTGATTTTGATTCTTAAAGTGATCTAAATTTTCTTATACTAATTATATAGGCATTATTTTACAAAGTTTTAATATTTTTATTATATAAAAAGTTACATATACTATGCTGGTGAGATTTTGGAGAAACTGGAACCCTTATTCACTGTTGGTGGGAGTGTAAAATGGTGCAAACATTGTGAAAGCAGTGTGGCCCTTTCTCAAAAAGTTGCAAATAGAGATACCATTTGATCCAGCAATTTCACTACTGGGAATATACCCCAAAGAGACCATAACTACCACCCAAGGAGATATTTGCACACCATGTTTATCACGGCTTTATTCACAATAGCAAGAAGTTGGAAACAACCTAAGTGCCCATCAACAAACGAATGGAGAGAAGCTGGAATATTACAATTTCATTACAATGGAATATTATGCTGCATTGAAAAACAAGGAACTCACGCAATATTATTCAAAATGGGTGACCCTGGAGAACATTATGCTGAGTGAAATATCTTAGTCACAAAAGGACAAATACTGCATAGTGACTCTGTTGTAAAACATGACTGACATCGGGGTTGCGGGGAGACTGAAAAAGATGGGATAAATTATGTATACTGCATTGAAACGTATGAGGGAGAGATGTGTTTAAAATGGATATGTGATTAGGTATTATTGTCCAGAAGGAAGGCTACAGGGTGGAGTGGCCTTGCGGGGAGGGGCTGTATAACAATGAAAAGATTTTTGTTTAACTTTTCAAAGAGAGGAGCAAACTGGGGGAGAGAGAGGGGCAGGGGGAAAAGTACAACAATGAATGAATGGAAATCCAAAGTCTCTGTAAATTTTCATTTAAATTAACAACAAAAAATTAAAGATACATATACTAAAGAATACAAGTAAAAATCCAGTAGATAAGCAAAGATATAAGACATCTTACAGAACATAATATATTGTCAAATATAGAAAGAATTAAGATTGTTAGCAATTTCATCTTGCTCAGTTCTACTATTAACACATCTGGCACCAGTAATCAGAAATTCAAAAGACAAATTGCATTAGGAAAATCTGTTGTCATGGACCTCTCTCCAGAGTGCTAAAGAGCAATGATGTCAGTATAGAGATTAATGTATGTCTGGTCCAGGTCATGGTCTTCGCAATTACTTTCTGTGCATTAGAGAGCTGGACAATTAATTACTAAGGATGACGGAAGAAGAAGAATCTATTCCTTTGAGTTGTGACGCTGGAGCAGACAACTGAACATACCATGGACTGCCAAAAAAACAAACAGGTCCATCCCAGATCAGGTAAATCCAAGTTGCTCCTTGGAGCAAATGAAAACTGGTGTACAAATCTGCATTTGTGTCTCACTTCTAATTGCCTTGGGGTACATTCCTAGTGGTGTAATAGCTGGGTCATATGAAGTTTCTATGTTTAAGTTTTTGAGGAAAAGCCCAACTGTCTTCAGGGTGGTTGCACCATTTTACAATGGGCAAGGTCCAATGGTGAATAACTTTATAAACCATAATGCATGAGAATGTGAATGAAGAATAGTATGAAACACAATGTATACCAACAAACTTTGTAAGCAAACCAGTAAAACAATCTTTAATAAAAAGAATCTCAGATTATTTTCTTCCCCCCATGATCATTCTGGTTATAAATACAGGGGATGCCTTATATACTAGGTGGCTTAAACATGGATCTCGCCTCCCTAGTCAACACTCTCAACACCAGGCTCAGCTTCCAGTCCCTTTGAGGAACGATGGCTGCTCCATGAGCCTGGGAACATACTGTGTTGATGAACTCATTTGGCAGCACAGATAACCTTCATGACGGCTTCTGGTTTACATACAATATTTTGGGAACAACCAAAATCAATTGCTTTTCTCCCCTAATGGGAGCATTTTTTTAAAAGGAGCGATCTAGCTAAATGTGTATGCTATATTTCTAACAGAGGCAATTCTTAAGGGGCAAGGATGAGGTCTATTTTAATAATGTATTTATTGTCTAGTTTCCTGTTAGATTTTATAAATAATGTTCTTTGCAGCCTCTATCCTAAGCATCAACTGATACATCATTTTCTTAGAAATACCATGTCTCCCTTTCCACCTGCTGCTCAAATTCCACTCTGTGACTATGATCATTTCTCTTGATAGTTCAAACATGGTTTTGGTCCATGTTCACCCATTGTTTTTAAATGGTGTCAAGCTGGCAGTCGGCTACATAGCAATTCTATGAATAACACCTCAGAATATTTCCCTACCTGAGCCAACCCCACTGTCTCTGACAGATCTCACCACAGTCACAACTCTATCAATCCTTCTCCTTCAGAGTCTTCCTCTCTTTTGTTGGACAGTCACCCTTTCAAGCATGATGTTCTTCTCCAAGGACTGCTCCTTCCTAATCACATGCCCAAAGTATGTGAGGAGGAATTTCAAATCCTTGTTCCCCAAGGAAAACCAGGTTTCATCCCTCCAGGACAGACCTGTTAGTTCTCAATACTCTTCTTCAACACCACAACTCAAAGGCATTGCTTCTTCTTGTCATACTTAGTCACTATCCAGCTCTCAGCGCACAGCAAGCATCTAAGAAGACCAGGGCCTGGACCAGGTTCACCTTTGTCTCTAGGCTGCCAAGGTTGCTCTTTAGCAGCATGGTCCCTGACAGCAGATTTTTAAGCGGTCCTTGACAAAAGATTTTCCCAAGGAATTCATCTTTGAGTTGAACAGATTTCCTGCCTGCTGGTACCAAGAGGGTTGATTGTGGATATGAGCAAGATGAAATCGTTAACAACTTCAATCTTTTCTCCATTTATCAGGATGCTGTCTATTAGCCTGAATGTGAAGATCTTTGTTTTCTTGATGTTGAGATGGCTGAAATTCTAGTAAAAGATGCTATGTAGGAGAGACTGACACGAGACTTCAGGCATCTCCAGGTACACTAATAGTTTTTCCAGAAACAAAGGAGGCAACAATTCTTGGTTTTGTGGGGTCAAGCTATAAACTGAAATTCAAAAAAGATCTTGGCACAAGGTATCCAGCATTGTCCTTTGTTTTAGGTAAGAGCTTTTCTTTTCCTGAAGATTTTCAGCTCTCTCAAGGAAAGGAAAATGTAGTATTATGAGTTTTTCAAACGTGCCTTTTAAAGATACCCCACAGAGAACTATCACAACAGCACAATACTGGCATATTTCAGTAAGAACCAAATCTGTTGTTTTCACAACATGGCTGTAAACTTTTTAGGAGCATCAAATCTGTTATTTAATGGGCAAGATTAATAGCCAAAAAGATTAACTTTTATGATTCTGTATTTCGAAGACTAGAGAGAGTGCTTTGATAAAGACCACATTCAATCTGAGCATCATTTTTTTTTGGTGTGGTGTGGAGGTAGTGGCTTCTGTTACGGGTAGGGTGGGCTTAGCAGTGCCTGCATGACGGTCTGAAATCCAGAGCCGTTGCATGCTTTCCAGGGGCTGCCTACACTTTGACCAAGAAGCCCAGGTCCATGGCCTTGGGAGGCAGACTGTCTTAAAGCCACTGTGGTCACTATGGTGAGAAGCTCCTTGGTATAACCAAGCAACAAGGGGTCTAAGAGAGGCAGCAGGGAAGCCAGCCTGCTCTCCTTCCTTGGGTACACTGATCACGTTCACTGGGGCCAGGCTGTCTTGTCCTGGGGTCATTGGCCTCTCGCTGGCCACCAGCTTCTGGCTAGGCTCAGAATCCGAGGAAGAAGATCTCCTCACTTGAGGAGGCAGAAGCATGGGCACTGCAGAAACCACTGACATCCCAGGGTGGCTGGAAAACCACAAAACACCAGGGTGGCAGTGCCCATGCAGAGGCTGATCACCCGCTGAGAGCTTCTCCGACAGCCAGTGGGCCAAGTCCAGGTGCCCATCCTCACTGTCCTTTCCATCAGGATGAGTATTCAGTGACAGAGGTTCAGAAAGAGGCAGGGCAGGAGAGCTGGTACCTTCTGCTCAGCCCTCTCATCCTCTGATATGAGTATTACACTGAAAATAGACTAATTCACGAAGAAAAACATGTACTTACATTTCGGGTCCATGCTAAGCGGTTTGTGTTATAACCCATCATGTTCATGAGACAAGTCACAAATAAATTCCACTCTGAGTGATAACTGGGTCCTCCAGGGGCACTGTGGACATTGTACCACTTGACAAGCATCTGAACTGCTATTTCCTTAGGCAGGATAAGCTTAATTGCTTGCAAACATGTTTGTACTATTAAAAGAAAAAAATTAATTTTAGTATGCTCCCTAATTCTATTCCCTTTTGAATAAGTTTAAGTTATTAATATAAAAAGGCCAACCACAAGGAAAAGAGAAATGTCATTAAGAGTGAGTGGGATGCAGATATTACCTAGCCAATAGCTACTGGCTTCAAAAGGCCTTAACACAAGGTCTAGGTGAGCTCTGGTAGCGTAATTCCTAGCAGGATGCACTGCTCACCCAAAAGTGGTATGTACCCTCTCCTCTTTGGTAGGTCAAACCTGCCAGCAGCTCCACAGGAGAAAGAAGGGCAATCTCCTTCCATCCAAAAAGCCCACTGGCAGTCAGCTATGAGTCAGTTCCAAATCAACCTGACATCACTCCTTCTTTCATGCTTGAAAATACCTAGTCTATACAATAAGTTGATAATTCCTCTAAGAAATTATTCAATTACTATGTGAATAAGTTAATCTGAAATACTGCTTAAGTAATTCAGTAAAGTCAATGCTTATTTAATGCATTCATCCACAGAGAACAAGACTCCAGAACTGAAAGATGTTTTAAATGAGTGTTCCTGCTTCTCGGAGTTAAACATTTTATTTCTGATAGTACTGTGTTTATAAAATCTTTTTTACACTCTATTATCAATGATATGAAATACCACAGCAGTGGCATCTCCCTAAATGCTCAGGACTTAGTCAGTCACAGCCACACAGTGAGAACCACCTCAGAGCTGACCCTCCACCGGGTTTCTGAGGCTGCTACCCAGGAGAACACTGCCCATCTTTCTCTCTCTTAGCAGCTGGTGGGTTCGAACTTCCAGTATTTTGGCTGGCAAAGCAACTCCTTAACTACTAGGACCCTAGAACTCCCTTTTGTATTCTGTCTTCTTTTATACAGGACTCTTTCTGAACCCTTCTCATTGTCACTGTCATTTGCCAACCCTAGTACCATACTCTTTTACTCAGTAAGTTGTCGTGTGTGAACACACAAAGCAAAAGCTTGTATCAGTATAAATAAATGCTAAATAACCAAATAAACTTGTCATAGTTAATTTAAAAAGTGTAATTTAGATGGTACATATGAGGGTCTGAGGAACACTTTAAAGGTAAAGTATATAAACTTATGTACAAGAACTCTGTGACGTCTATGTGGTTGTAAAGGACCAAGGTTTTTTTTTTAACTGACTTTGTCATTAGTTTAAGTTTTATGTATTTCGTTTGCTTTTGCTAGGTGCTGTCAAGTTGACAACTCACAGTAACCTTATAAAAGAAAGAACTGACCCTGTCTTGCCCTATCCTGCACAATCTTCATCATCTCGATCAAGCCCGCTGTTGCAGTAACTGCATCAATCCATCTCCTTGAGAATCATCTACTCTTTTGCAGACCCACTACCTTTCCCAAAGTAATCTAAGGATAAGGTCCTCTGGAAAATATATTCAAAGAAACTGAAACACAGTTTCAATATCTTTACCTCTAAGGAACACCCTGGTTCCACTTCCTTCAAAGAGATTTGTTTATTCTTTTGGGAATTCAATACTCTTCACCAATATCAAAATTCAAAGACATTGTTTCTTCTTTTGTTATCACTGTCCAATTCTCACTGCACAGGATGCAACTGAAAATACTATGGCTTGGATCAGGTATACCTCAGCCTTTAAACATTGCTACTCTTTAGTATTTGAGAGGTACTGGATGGTAGATTTTACCAAGGCAACACCTACTTTGATTTCTCGACAGCTACTACCAAAGGTGTTGATTCTGGAACCAAGTAAAATGAAATAATTGACATTAATCTTATTTCCATCTATCATAATGTTCCCTATTGGTCTAGTGGAGAGGATTTTTATTTTATGGATGTTGAGATGGAACCCTATATTGATGGCTGTAGTCTCTGATTGTCTGCACTAATTGCTTCAAGTCTTCTTCACTTTATGTATGCAAGGTTGTGTCATCTGCAAAAGGTAGGTTGTGGTTGGGTCTCCCTGGAGTCCTGATGCCACAGTCTTCATAAAGTCCAGCTTCCTGGAATATCTGCTCAGCATCCATATTGAATAGGTATGGAGAAATGTTAGAAGCCCAATTCACACTTCTCCTGATTTTATACGATGCAGTATTTGCTTGTTCTATCTGGAGAACTGTTTCGTGGCTTATGTAATATTTCACACAAGCACAACTCAGTGTTCTGGGATCCCAGCTTTTTTTTTGGGGGGGGGGTATAAAAATTTATTACACATACAGAATTTTACTAATGAATACAGACAGGCTGGGGCACAACGAACTGCATAGGGGACAGCTAGCTCTTTGGCAAGTGTACAGGTTTGGGTGCCTTGGAGCCTCATGCCACGTTGATTTGTCAGGCATATTAGGAGGACACATGCCAAACACCATGGGGAAGCAGGTCAACAGTGACTGCTCTGCCTGCCTGCACTGCCTTCCCTGTCTGAGCTGGAGCTTCGAAGGATGCCACATTCAGAAGCGAGCAGCTGAAAGAAAAGCGATTCCTAAGTGTTCCGGGCTGGTCTCAGAAGTCACTGCAACACCATTTTAAGCAACGTGTTTAACTGAACGATTTCCATAAACTATACACAAAGTTTCTAACCATCACCATTCCAGTGAAGTACAAAACATTAAGCTACAGGCTGTGGGAACAGAAGGTGCACCAAGGTGGCAACTTCCTATCCTGGCTGCTTGTAGGGTAGGGAGTGGGGAAGGTCTTTTGTTTTTTAAAACTGAGTCCCTCATTTCAATGTACAAAAAAATTACTCTGATTTGATACTAAACTGTATTGAAACAAAATGGACTAAAAGCAAATACTGCTCTATGTTGGGGTAGAGGTGGGAGAAAGAATGAGTCCTTCAAAGCAGGAGGGGAGGGAGACATTTGGAGGAAGATTCTGTGACTGTGACCCCAAGGGGTCACTCACGCTGCTCCATTTTTACTTTTGGTGGTCTCAGGAAAGTTCGATTTTTCTTCTCTTTCTTGCCTTTTGTGTTTGCTTGGAAATTTCGCCAGCTATCCACACGACCATCTCGACTTTCCTCAAAGTTTTTCTGCCACTCCCTCTCTCGTTTGGCTTTTTCTTGGGCTTCAATCTCTTCTTCCCTTTGTCGCTTCCTTTCATGCATCTCTTTGGCTTCTCTTTCTTTTCTTTTAATTTCCAGTTCAGCAAAGAGCTTCATGGTCTTTTTGTATACTGCCTGTTTGAACAGCTCAGGATCATCTTCTTCCACGTTTGTAGGTTTCCCTTCCTTCTTTAATTGCTTTTTTCCCTCTTTTACAGTGTGTTCCACGTATTCTTTTCCTGCCTGAATTACATCCAGGGCCCTCTTCTTTTGTTCCTGATCCAGTAGCAACTTGTAAGCTTTGTCCACAGCTTCAAAGGCCTTTTGTGCTCGGTCAGCATCATCTTGATTTTTGTCAGGATGCACCAAGATAGATAACTGCCGAAATCTCTTTTTTATTTCTTCATCTGTCACTTCAGGATCTATCTGAAGAACCTCAAAGGGGTTCAAGTTGAAGTAGGAGGAACCAGGACGGGTCATTCTCTCAATCTGATTTTTGGATGTTAAAACTGAATCTCTCTTTTCTATTTGCTTCACCTCACTGTAGAAGGTCATAAACGCATCCTCTGTGCCGCCTCCTCCGCCCGAAGCCCCGCTCTCCCCAGAAGCCGCCATTTCTCCCGATCCCAGCTCTTTTAAAAGTTAGTGATAATTTATTATACTCCAGTCAGACAACTTTGCATAGTCAAGAAAAGATAAGTAAACATCTTTTGGTATTCTCTGCTTTCAGTCAAGATCCACCTGACATCAGCAATGTTATCCCTCATACCACAACAGCCTCTTCTGAATCCGGCCTGGACTTCTGACAGATTCCTGTCAATGTGCTGTTCCAATCATTTTTTAATAAGCTACAGCTTTTACTTCCACTTGGTATTATTACTTGATAATTTCCAATATTAAGTTCAATATTTTGTTTAGGTTTTATACTATTCCAAGTTATGAGCTCTTCAGATTACTGGATAATCTAAAGGTAGAGGACCTCTGGAACAACTCAGAACATCATTTATCACACAATGGAAGAATATTCTTAAAATTAAAAAAGTCATTCTTAGTCTACTTAAAAAACTCCAGAAATATTCCATCTGCCAGTGCTTTGTTTTGGCAATTAGATTTTGAAACGAACAAGTATCATGATTTTTTTTTTAAGTTATACAGTACTGTTCACATAAAAGTACTGTTTACTTGTATTATTTCCCTCACTTCTACAATTCCATTTTCAAAGCTCCATGTAGAGAAATATTCTCCCTCAGATGATTTTAGAAATTATATTTAAATTCAAAAGCAAATTCCAATACTTTTAAAAATATCTGACCATATTTTAACCTTAATAATAAGCATTACTCATCACGCTAGTTTTGTTAAGGGAACTCTGAAGGCACAATCCTCGTCAAGTCGCACTGCTCACCCAATGTGATGGCTTGAAACCACTGGCAGTTCCACAGCAGAAGTGTGGGGAGTCTTCATCCATTACAATTAGTCCCACAGACACTCGATTAAAGGCCTGGCCTCACACCAGTGAGAATTAGTGAAAGCTTTCAATCTATTAACTGAATTAAAACATCATCCAATGTTCTCCAAAAATATCTCGGCTTTTTAAATTTTTTATCTTTTATTTTCTTATTTTGTGCGTGAACTATCAAATTGGAGCTGACTGGTACAGGAGGATATTGCCCCTCCTTCTCCTGCAGAGCATCTGGCGGATTTGAACTGCAGCCTCTGGGATTGTAGTGCAGCTTCTTGCCACTAGGCCACCAGAGCTCCCTAATATCTTGGCTTTTTAAGTTTTCTTTGTTTCTCAGATTTTCTTATGAAGTGTTCCCATTTATCCTAATGTCATTGCATGCTGATGCTTAATATAAAAAAGCTTAGAAAAACAAAATGTGTCCATCCTTCACCTGTATCCACAGTCTTGGAGCAAACATCAATTGGAAATGAGAAGTGCTTTCCTACCTCCTCAGTTTCTATGCATAGTGAAAAATCTAGGTGCCATAGTTTTAAAAAGAGAAGTTATTTTTAAACCTAACTATTAATATATATAATATATATTAGCAAGTTCTCCAAATCTTATGAATCAAACTGAGAAAGACTCTTACTCATACCTAATTCAGAGGTGGCAATTTCAGGAACAGTGATCCTTACCATGGATCCATTATTCAGTTCCTAGTGAAATGAATAGAAACAAACAAGGAAAAATAAACAGCATATCTGTATACAAAGTATTTTAATATCTAAGGCATACCTGATGCTTTACAAAACTTTTGTACAAAATTAAATAAATAAAAAAAAAATATTTTCCTGCTAGAACTGAACATTGTCAAATATAAACATCTTTAATTATAAAAATATCTTCAATGGTTTTTATATAAAGAAAAGTGTCCAACTTTTATACAGACAATATAAATAACAGGAGAATTAACATTATTTTTTTTACTTGGCAATTTTTTGTAATTGTAATTACAAAAAGTATATCAACACACAATTTAATAGGATTAACAAGCTCTAGTTTCTTATAACCTCAACATTAAAATAAACAGTGAAAGTTTAAGCTTTAAAAAGCTATCATTAGGTTTGTTAAAGTACAATAGTATGAAAAATAATACATTACAAAAGATTTTTTTAAAATCATAAGCAATGTTTTAGACAACTCTTGCATTTAGGCAAGTCTAAAATGATGGTCATCTCTCATGGGAAGGCATTCAACCTTTAAAAACTGTAAGTTCCTTCATTCATAGGGTTGCTATGAGTCTCCTATGACTTGACAGAAGTTAACAACAATAACAACAACAACATACTTACTAAAGTTACTCTGTTACGGACAGGATCTCTTATAGAATGGATATAAGTTCCCAGCTGTTGGAAAGTACAATCTTCATTATAGAGAGAATCATGAAGTTTTGAAGAATCCCTTAGTTCTGGAACTGGAGATGGCAGAATAACCTACAAAAAAATAGAGCACAAATATTTTTGATAAACTGATTCTCAAAAAGTAACTTTCTTTTTTACATATTGTGCAACAAATAACTGTGTGTAATGATTGGAAATTTATATACAGGTGTTAGTACACCTCTTATAAAACTTACAGCATACTAAGGTTCTCAAAGAAAACTAGAAAAAGTGGGTAATACAGCAAAGCAGCTGATTGCTGGCAGTACAAGTTGTACCAGTAACTTGAGCTTGAAGGGCCAACATCTAAGAGACACTAGAAGCACAAGTGAGTGGACCAGAATTTTACTGCTCTGGGCATTTGTACACTTTGGTGTAAAGGAGTGTATGGAGAGGCTGGCAACGTGTAAGGCAGGCCACAGCTAAAAGAAAGAGAAGGTAGTAGCATTTTGGCATTCTAAGAAGGCTAGAGACAACTGTAATTTAACACAGCAAAGATAGATGGGAATGGAGGAAACAAGACCTCAGAAACAAGAGCAAGCAATGAGACAGGTATTTGGGAGTATTTCCGCTACCGGTAACATTTTTTCTGAAAACAGAATACTTAACTTGCTCATTGGCAAATACTCAAACAAAAATTTTAAATCATCTTTGCTACTAATTACGGAGAGACACTTCCATGTTTAGATCACTAACAGTAATTACTGACTCTTGTATTCATGTGCAAGAATCCAATTGTAGCACTTCTCTTAAACAATTTCATGTCAACATAGAGTCAATCACACTTAAAATTTATCTGTTATGTTCCACCTTCTACTTTAAGAGTTATTAAAAAAAAGTTAGCTCCACTGGCTTTACAAATACTAGCATTATCTGCAAGAAAGCCATTAGCCAATATGACAGAAAAACATCCCCCCAGCACCTTGTGACAGGTAAAAAGACATTAATCGTGCTTGGGTTTCTGGAATTCTAAGACACTAGGGAACCATTTTTCATGACAGAAGAAATTCTTTCAAATGACCAAATATTATCTAATATTTCTCAGCACTCTTTCTGAAAGTTTTCAAACACCCTGGCTTAAAGGTGGAAAGTCCATTTACTGTGTGCACATTATTTTTTTAAAAAACACACACCAAACAACAAAATACTCCAGGCCTGTTGTTCTTATATGCAGTCAAGTTGCTTGCAACTCAAAAGAACCCTATGTACAATAGCTGTGAACCCTGCTATATCTTGAGCCAATATCAATATCTCTGACATACCTAACCCCACTTCCCCAGTGACTGAGTCAATCTATCAAATCCAGGGTCCTCTCTCTTGAACTGTCCCTCCAATCTTCCAAGTATAATGTCACTCTCCAAGAACTGGCCCTCCTTGAATCATGTATGTGAGATGGAGCTTAAAAATATTTGCCTCAACCCCTGTGGAAAGCAGTGTGACGCTTTCTCAAAAAGTTGCAAATAGAGATACCATTTGACCCAGCAATTCCACTACTGGGAATATACCCTGAAGAGACCATAGCTGACATCCAAGCAGATATATGCACACCCATGTTTACTGCAGCTTTGTTCACAATAGCAAGGAGTTGGAAACAACCTAAGTGCCCATCAACAAACGAATGGCTAGAGAAGCTGTGGTATATTCGCACAATGGAATACTATGCTGCATTAAAAAACAAGGAACTCATGCAATATTATTCAAAATGGTTGACTCTGGAGAACATTATGCTGAGTGACATACCCCAGTCACAAAAGGACAAATATTACATGATGCCACTGTTGTAGAATGGGACTATCCTTGGGGTTGGGGAGAGACTGAGTAAGATGGGTTCAATAATGTATACTGCACTGAAACAGAGGAGGGAGAAAACTGTTTAAAAGAGATATATAACTAGGTATTTCTGTCATCACAGGAGTCTAGAGAGAGGGCTACATGGTGGAGTGGACCTGGGGGAGGGTTTGTAAAACAATGAAAGAATCCTTTCTTTTACTTTTCCATAATTTTTGACTCATGTACTTATAACTTGTTAGTCAAATCTGTGTCTTCTAGGTTGCAACACCCCCATGATACATCTTCAAGGATATGAACATGTACGGCCAAGCACAATCAATAAGAGTGCATCTAAATTCCAAAATCAATCTCAATAATAGTCTATGTGTTTCCCACTGCCAAAGGGGCCCCTTAGAGTAGTGAGAGAAGATCTTCACCCTGAAACCCACAGCGTCCCTTTTCAGGAGGAAGCAGCTAAGAGAATACGCCATCCCCTTTTCCTTATGAATCAGGGTGAAGTCTCTCTCAGGGAGGAGTGATAGGGAATGGCAAAGGACACACTGACAAAGAAGATTAATCAGAACTGGCTTTGACAAGCACTGTGGCAATTGGACAATTAAAACAGACATTCGGATGGCGGGGAAGAAGAACAAACTGGGGAGGAGGGTGGAGAGAATGGTGTGGCAATGAAGGAGTGAAAGCCCAGAATCCCTGTGAATGTTCATTGAAACTAATAAAATTTAATAATAATTAAAAAAAAATTTGCCTCTAAGGAGCAACCTGATTTCACCCTTTCCAAGACAAACCAGACTGTTCTCTTAGGAGTCCACGGTATATTCAATACTCTTCTCCAGCACCACAACTCAAAGGCATCAATTCTTGTTCTATGATCCTTAGTCACTGTCTAGCTCTTTGAAGCACAGCAAGTAATGGTGAAGACCATGGCATGGATCAGGTGCACCTTACTCTATAGACTAATTGATGCTCTTCAGTACTCTGGAAAGGCCCCTGACAGAAGAATTTCCCAATGCAATTTGTCTTTTGATTGACTGGCTGCTGGTACCAGGAGTACTGAACCCAGCAGGCTGAAGCTGTTAACAATCTCACAGATTGAAAAGATACGGAAGGGTATTGCTTTTCTTAGCTCCAGCTCTGTATTCTCTTTGTCACTGTAGAGAAATACAACTGATTTTTGTATGTTGA